CTCTTGGCGATGGAACGGGCTGCGACAACATGACTGCCGTAATAGTTAAATTTACATCACCGGCAACTGAAACTGTTAAAAATAATACCGTTGCCGAGGTATGCGTTGCAAAGAAACGATCGGTTTCGCCAACTGCTGAGGAAAACAACGACTGTATTCCGGAAGAAAATACAGTAAATCCCTGCAAACGCGCTAAAACTGAAGCAACTATGTGAATTATGAGTCACCACACGTCATGAACTGATCTCCGGGAGCGGACGAATGAATGTGAGTTTATGTAAAATTATGTAACAACTTTATATTGTTGTGTAGAGCTGGAACCAATTGGTTATACAGTAACAAGCACATGAAATAGTGTGTAAGGTGTGTTATTCGTCGCTGCTAACAGACTGCTAGATTGGAGCACGTGGGAATGATATAACTTAGTTTTGTTAATAACGCAGGAATAATTTCTCGATTACAATAAAATAAATAACGCATATGAAGAGAAATTTCTCTCCTAAGATCATATCCTGTGCATATATTTTTATTGTCACATAATGTCGTTAGATACGATTTGTTTAATATTGAACTTTATTATTGAGAAATATATATATATAATATATATATAATTCAATATTCAGGCCATTTTTTTATTTTGTTATGTGTATAATTTGGAATCAATCCTTAGAACTGAGGAATACGACAGAAAAAAAGGGAGAGAGAGAAATTGTGTGTAAAATAATAATATAAAACAATTCTGGTCAAAATTATGAATAAAGCTCATTCATTTTTTTACAAGCATTTATTGACAAAGGTACGATGAATGATACGTACTCTTAATATAAATGTATAATATAATTTTCTTTCTTAGTTTTATAGAACATAATGTATTATTATAAGTTCTAATATAGTTCTAATATAGCTCTAACAATCTTTAATATACATAAATTTATTAATTGAGACTAATTTCATATAAATGATGCAGTGATACTAACGATAACATATATACGCAATGTAAATTAACAACGATAAGTGAATAACAGTAAATAAATTAAGAGTTTTATTCAATTTTTCTTTTTGCGATATATATATATACATTTTTATTCTGATAAATAAATTCACATTAAACAAGAAAGATATCAATTTAGTGTTTATATTAATATGTGTCCGTATATCACAGTATCATTTATTTCAAACTGTAATGATTTGTTGAATTCCTTTCAATTATTATATTCTATGTCTTAATTAATATATTTAAGTTAAACAATTAGATTTTTGTTCATATCATCCCATTTGCTCCAGCTGCACTTACAAAGTATATTCCTTGAGTTTTTAGATTAGTACACATAAATGTATATATTTATAAATGTAGTTTATAGGATTTATATTCGTAAGTCAATACATTTATCTCTTATTTTTACAAAATAGAATTTATTTTTGAATCCCTGGGTATAGTGGTTGAATGGATGGGTGTGCGAATAGTTTTAAGATGTTTAAATTGTATTATGTAATTAAGGCAATTGCGTATAACGCGTTACCAATTTGTGATCTTGTCTTAATGATAACGTTAAAGAAATACAAAAAAAAGATATGTACTTGTGTTAAGCTACGTCAAGTGCTGTAGTAGTTTGAAACGATCTGAATTTGGAAATTTGCACATGTCAAAAGTATGTTTTTTGTAAATTTATACAGAGAGTCATATATATATATACATATATATATGTATAGAGAGAGAGAGAGAGAGAGAGAGACATCATAGCTTTGGGAAACCAGGTGTTTGTCTTACAGAAAGAGGGATTACAATTGTAGGATTGAAAATGGCGCGATATGTTGTGGCAAACGCATGATGGTTACGGTATTTTGGTAAATTCAAAATGCTTATCCTATTGTGTCGCGATGCTGATAAACGGAGTACTTTGATAAACGGAGTATTCATGACATCATGACAGTCGCAAAATTCCTTCTAGTAATTGGAGATACGCGAAATATTTGGTATTATATAATAAGTGCAAGATACTTGTAGTATTCCGACAAACGCAAGTAGAGAGTAGGACATATTATATCTGGGAGCAAATCTCCGTTTTTCATGTAGCTAATGAAAGCAATGGTATTCGATGGATTTATCGAAATTCAGTTTTCTGCACTAATTGGATAAAGGTATAGTGCATATTTTTGCTCTTAGATCTACTCGTGCCTATGTGTACATGCTCCTCCACTCTATCTATCTCTACCTACTATGAACACGAGCGAACTGAGAGAGCGTGTTAAGCACGGAGACTGTCCTCTGTAAAACTTTGGTCTAAAAAAATAATACTATTGGTTTTATAAATTAATTTTCTGACGTGGCGCTAACCGCAAATACTCGCATACTTCAAGAACTTTTCGGAGTTCATATTACGATTTATATATTAACGTACATAAATCGTAAATAGGCAATACTTGAACAAATAAAGACCTACTGTCATATTTTTTACAGTTTAAGACTCTTTCATGTTGCATAAAGATTCCTGTTTCGATCGTAATGCAGAAATATCAGAATCTTTGTGTTTCCATTGTAGAGATTCATATAAAACATTTAAATTATGTGACGCAACTATTGTAGAAGATAGAGATATGAATCAACTTAGTGAAATCTTCGCGACAATTGTAACATTTTCCACCAATATATATTCTTCTGTCGACACTCACGTGTAATCATGTGTAATCGCAGTTGTTAGTAGACAGTAATTTCATCGAAGAAATTGTTTATAGTTAAATGCAAAAACAATCACGATACTGTAAACACCATTTGCAAGATGAACAGCGTATAGATACTAGACGAACGATATCTAGTATCATTCAGAAAAAAACTGACGTGCCTTTCCAATTCAGGGGTTGACAACCTCCGCTACATGTATATGTACATTCGATTCCGTCTCAAGAAAAAAAAAAGGTTTGCGCCCCATATACTGTCTTTAGCTGCAAACTCCGTCATACACTTGTGTATAATATCTTGTTTCATAATACATGTCGCTCGAATCAATCTTAATGCTTGTTTCTATTTTCTGCATTTTTTCTCTTGCCACGAAAGGAGTAAAATACATCAAATATTTTTAAACCAGTATATATATATAATGCATTTTTAGAATCTTACATATACATTTGATTTCTTATTAAATTATATACATTTCGCACAAATAATGAAATAAATCTAGTTGTCCAGAATTAACTTCGCTGCTTGTCTAAAATTTGCTTATTTGTCTATTATTGATTTGAACTATTGTCAACATGTTCCATATCATATCATCATACTTGTACCATGATTTCAAATTTGTAATTGTGTAAATAGTAATATGTATATATATTTCTTCTCTAAGAAAATCCCTTAAAGGTATATAAATCTATTCTATTATTATCTTTCTATATTCAATCCTTTAAAATTTATTGTTTATATAATCATAAAGAAAGATAGGGAAATCTCTATAAATCATTTTATTCAACATAGATATATTCGATTTAATATATAACATATGTATTACAGATATGAATGAAAAGATATCCTACGATGTAGTAGGTATGCAACACGATACATATGGTCCCTTTATTAATTGTGGGATTACGAATATCTCTCATCTTTTAACACTAAGATACACAAAAATAATATATATACACACATATGTATATGCCGTGCCAGTGTAATCACAGTCTGTAGTTGTTTTACACTCCACCTTCACTTATCTAACATCTTCGGAAAAATTGAGCAAACTTATCTTCTATTATTCTATTATAAAATGAAAAACTGATTTCCTGATCATCATACTTACGATCAATAGGTATCAAATTACTCGCATCGACACCCGAAACACTCCGATTCGGATTGTCGCTCCGATTTCGTCATATAAGTGAAAGTGTAAATCAGTAAAGAGAATTAATCACCGATATATATATATATATATATAATATATATATGAGAATTACTGCAATTATACAGTGAAATAATATACTTGGAATGACACGCGCGCGCGCGCACACGTTTAGTAGAAAAAATTCAAAATAAACTAGTTTATTAAAAATCAGATATATTGTACTATCTATTGCATTCGTTCAAACCGAAAATCCTGAAAAATACGTTTAATATTTAATTACGTTTAACACTTACAATTCAATTGGAATAACAAAATTACGTGTTCAAAATGCGTACTTTCAATACGCCCTATAACTGATATTAGACTTAAATTTTCTTTTACTGGCAGTGTTTACTCCACATCATCCTTTAAGCAGTTTAATAGAATTTCGGACTCGTTGAGAAATGCATATTTAAATAACACAATATATATGTTTCAAATATATAATACGTATGATTTATTTGAGATATTAAATTATGCAAGTTTGTAAGAAAGAGTAATATAAACATAATGAAAAATTTATCGCAATAATGTAGACAATGACGTAAGAATAATAAGTAATAATAATAATTAATAATTATGACAAATTAATATAATAATGACGATGACAGTGATAATGAGTGATGATAATAATGATGATAATAAAATAATAATACTTATAACAGGTAACAATGCAGTCCTCTAGTTTTGCATAAAAAATTTTTTTATAACAATTTGGTTAATCTAGATGACTGCTTAAAAGTTGTCATAGAGTATAAGTTCATAAATAATTTCATCAGTCACAGAATGGCAACTTGGACTTGTTCCTGTCGTAGATTTAATACGGTTTGGCACATAACAGTAAGCGTGTAAACGCTATATTCTTTTCGTAATTTTCCAGATGAAATCAATAAGATGCCATTCTTAGTTGCATATTTATATACATATTTATAAACACGCTTGTATAGCAAGAATGGCAAAGATAACTTAAGACATTTGTCATTCCCTTCGATAATTAGGACGAGGCATTTTTCTTATAAATATATTCAACAATTAGAGCGCGCAATTATATCCGAAAATAAGTGTTATGTGAGAAATGTAACGAGATGATTTATCAAAGTTAACTGTAGTTAACCAAAGTTAACTGTAATTTTCCTCATGTTCTACATTTCAAAAATGAAAAGAGATTCAACCGACAGGCGATAACCAAGTATCATGTAGCATTCGCATTTGGTATACATCCATGTTTCGTCTTATTTTATATTAATTCGTGTCTTGAAAGAGCGAACGACACTAAGGATCGCGGTGTGCGGTGGACTGAGGAGGATAAGACTGGGTCAGTTGGTGTTCTGTTTGTTAGAGCGAAGGCGAGCCAAGCCTGAACGCTCGCCCTCTTCTTCGTCAGATGTGCAAGGTACCACGCCACGTGACGATGTAGCCTGCATTAACTCTTGATCTGGGCCATTCCGATGCTCATACAATAAAATATTTAACGTTTCTTCGTATATTCGAGCCTCGGGAAATTCAACCTGAAAAAATAAAAGCATTTTTTATTATATAATTTCAAAATCATATAAATTTAAAATCATATTATTTAATCATATCATTACCTTTGTATGTTTTTTATCGGTTGTATAGACGATCGAGTGACAACAGACTTCTGCTACTTTACGACCATGCCCATAAAATGTCCAACAGCAGATCTCGCTCGAGCCGATAACGTCTTTGATGAATAACACTCTGCCACTGAATCTAAGTGACATTTTGTCGAATAGTTCTATGTTTTTTAGTAGATTGTCATCTGATGTACTATAAAAATTAAATTTATTTATTAGTCCATTTATTCTTTAATAATCTTAACTTATGATAATAATTCAGTTGTAATTATATACATTGTGACATTTCATTTATTTATCATTTTTTTGCATTGAATATTATCTACTCCAAATTAGCCAATGCGAGCACATAGATTAATTGTGTGCAAAAATATATTAATAGAAACAAGTTACAATATAGACATTTCGATCTTAATCTCTTTGAATCATCTTTAATATAGTATTGATGGATTAATAAATATTTTGCTTACAATAAAACCAGGTTATTGGAACGAATATCAAATCAGAACATTGTGAGACTAATGTCCAGAAATAAAAAGTTTTATAATAGAATATCTTCAGTATTGGACAGAATACTCGAATCATGAGTCCAAAGTTAAAATTGATAACAGATTCACAATAAAATTTCAAATAAGTGTAGAATAAAACAAGTGTAATATACTACAAGAAGTTGTGAGCTATTTATTTTAAAATATTAATTTATGATACTTAAATTATAGCTGCATTCAGAGAGCACACTATCAGTGCTTTTGTATTATTCTACTCTTATTTTATGTTTAATGAAATGACTGATAAAGATAGAATGACACCATAGCGCTAATAGTGTGCTCTGAACGCAGCCTATGACTGCTTTTCTTTTAGGAGACACAATCGACGAATATTGTTCTACCCTTTCTAATATTTAATGAATAACAATGAAGAACACTTCACTGATGAATACTTGTGTGGACTGGTTTACTAAAAAGAAAGTAGCCCGAAAGATACAATATACTTTTTATCAGTCTCTTGTTATATTTTAAATTGCTTGTATATTAACCCCAATCTATAATGTGTTTTTTGCTTCCTGTATCTTGTTTTTTATCTCTTGCCTTCCCTCCTTTGTGACTGGTATTTTATTAACAATTTTGTTTTTTGTCTCTTTGGAAGTTCGTTAACTTTTACCTCTGATGACAGAAAATGAGAAAATAAGAAGCAAAAGGACAAATAAAAAATGATAAAAAGCAAGAAATAGGAAACAAAGAGCATTAGGTTTTAATGAATGAAATGCTTAGAATGTAATTTATAAAAGATAAGAAAGGGAGAGACTCATGAAATATCACAATATTTATAAAAATATCTCTTGGATGACAGAAAACAAAGAAATAGAATAAGAAGCACGAGATAAAAAGAAGTAAAAAGTGAATCAGGAAACAAAGATTACATTGTTGATAAGGTTTTAATGCCACTATAAAACATTTGGATTTCAATTTATAAAAGATAAAGGATCACAATATTTACAACTATAAAGTAACATTTAACATTACCTTGTATAGGAATATTTATTGTTATGCCTATTAATGAGCAGCTTGACCACAGGCTTAGTAGTATTGCTTATGAGTAACTGTTCTTCTTTTTGAGAGGTTATGAGAGGGACTCTGCAGATTGGTTCTGCTTCGCGTTCTTTTCGTAGAAGCGCCTGTTCGCAGGACTCCGCCAGCTCGCTGATACAGTAATATTTTGCCTCTGCAAGCAATTCTGCCATCTCCTTCGTATTTTCTGGCAGCGGAACCGAGCCGTCTCGTAAAAAGTTCAAGATCGTTCCGAAATGTTTGCCACACCGATCAATCAATATCCAGCCTGCGGAGAGAGATCGTGGTCAGTGGAAGGTATAAACAAAATATCAACAAAAGATGAAATGTTCGAAATTCATAGGAAACAACGCAGAAAGTCTACAATCTCTTTTTTCAAAATCAAACAAATTCGTGTGCCTCCCACCACATTAAAATGACGAGTCTTTTGATTAGGACTGCAGGACCGATCGATATTCAAGGTTTATCAATTTCGAGTCAACACTCGTCGGAAATTGCATGTCGCACGTTGTAAAAAGAAGCATCTCACCTTCGGAGTCGGTGAGCACTTCCATGCGACCGCTGAACATTGCACGCAGCATGGTATCATGCTTCTGCAAGGTACCTATGGTGGTATAATGAAGCGAGCCTCCGATGTTCAATTTGACGTACTCCGAGGGGTATTTAATTTCCGTTTTGTGCTCGCCCGACATAACGAAAAACTCTGATAAAACCGAACCTGGCGAAGCCGAGGCGAGTAGTCGAGTACTAACACTACCGACGTAACGGCCGCGGGATGAAGCGAGGACGGGGGCGAGTATCGATCCCCTCGACGTCAGGATGAACGTTGAACGTGTGCGAATTAACGGATCCGCGTTTGTGTCGGAGCAACGTGACGACGCACTCGTGTCGAGCCGTTTGCTTCACACCCGTTGACGTCGGGAAAGCGGGAAAGACACGCGAGATACTAATACATCTTCATTTCGCTCCATTTTCGGCTCATTCATCATCGAATACGGCGAACTTCACAACGGCCAACAAGCGCTACGCGCTGAACATAGCGACGGATCGATTCGATGCGCGAAAATATATGGCGAGAATATCGCGAGGTATAACAATCGCGGCGATGCGGCCTTCGCTGACCAATCAGCATCGCTCGCGCGCTCCTGGTATTAGTATTTCATTCCGCTTTTCTCAATATTTCATTAAAGTTTAGAAAAATTTCTGTTATCGTATGTATTTTCAACGTTTTCGTATAATCCCGCATTAATAAATTTTGTTAATTATGCTCCTATAATATAATTTTTATTATATTTCGAACAGCATTTATAATTGTACATTGTATTGTAAACAATAATAAAAAATTAAGTTTAAAGGGACTAATTAAGAGGTAAACAATTATTATTGTATTATTGAATGTATAAAGGATTACACAATAAAAATAATATTAAAAAAGTTATGAACATGTATGGACATATTTCATATAAAATTATGTATGTTTATGAATATTTATACGTGTTTATGCACAATTATACATATTCATGCATGATAAATTTTTTACCGGACTTACAAAGAAAAGAGGACCGCCGATAATCCGCCGATAAAATCGGCGGGGATGGTAAAGGGCCTCTAGCTCGTTTTTGCTAAATTAAACCTTAAATTAACGATATATGATCGGAAAAGTTTGAAGTATATTCAAAGTCTCTATAATTGCTAGTAATTATAGAGACTTTGGAATATACTTACATATTAGTAAGTATGTTTGGTAAAAACGGGCTGAAAATCTGCATTTTTTAAAAAAACAATTCCATCTTTATACAGGCGCATATTATAAGACAAAATTCGCCAAATTAATTTGTTTGAATATTCAGTTTCGAGTTTCTTAATATTCAAGAACTTTTATTTCCACAGTAGGAGATGCGAAATTGAAATTTTCGTTTAAATTTTCGTTTTCGCACTTATTACGTATCGGCTTTGAATCATATGAAAGCTCTGCTTTTTTGCAAAGTGACGATGCAAAGTTTTATTGGATATCGCTCGTCGCTGATCTCTCGTTGAATCCAGTGTGCAATAGGCAGTAAGGCCGGTATTCATAGTCAGTTCTTATTTTAAAACCACCTTAAGTAATGTTCCAAGATGTTAATACAGCTTTCTGATTGGTTCATGGCATCTTAAGACTGTACTTAAGACGATCTTAAATATAAGATCTGACTGTGAATACAGGCAGAGAGAAATCTGAATATTAATTTGATAGATTTTAGTTATTTCAGCGATTTCAGCGATTTATTTCCATCAGGAGCACCGCAAAAAAATAGATATGTTGTGTAGTCTACATCCACTTCTTCAGAGGGCAGTAGTGCGCGGCGACAGTTTGCGCTTACAGAAAAAGGCCCTCTCTCATGTTTCTCACTGTAACGGTGAAATCACACGGTGCAGAAAAAGACTGCGAAATGGAGAATGCGTCATTGAAGCAACCAATCAGCGCTATTCAGCGCTATTCGGAATAGTGCTGATTGGTTGCTTCAATGACGCATTCTCTATTCCGCAGTCTTTTTCCGCACCGTGTAATTTCACCCTAAGGGTGAAATCACACGGTGCGGAATAGAGAATACAATCATTGGCTGCGTTCAGCAGACTCAACAGTTTTGCAACCGTTTTATGATTATCTGCTGAGATAGGACCATTCTTCTAGATCTAAAAGTATGATCCAATTAGCGCGAAGGAAACTTCCAACAGTTGCAAAACAAACGTTCTGCTGAACGGAGCCATTGAAGCAACCAATCAACGCTATTCAGCACTATTCGGAATAGCGCTGATTGGTTGCTTCAATAACACATTCTCTATTCCGCAGTCTTTTTCCGCACCGTGTGATTTCACCGTTAGAACGAAGTGCGTGATATCGGTCTCGCAAACTCGAGTCTCGAGAAGATGGCCGATTTGTTGGCGAGGTACGGCGTTTACATCGATGACTTGAGCAAAGTACGCGTCTTAGAGCCGGAAGCGGCGAATCAAACGAATAAGCTGAAGGAAGAATGTCAGAGCTTCGTGTCCAGTAAGTTGCGTTACGTTCGCGAGTGACGTTACAGCGAAGCGACGCAATGAATTTACTTGATTGATCGATTGTCACGATACTCACCCTTCGCACAATTCTCGTCACCGTTTTACGGTTCCTGCACAAGAAAGCGCACATCTACACTCTTGGGCGCGTTCGAGAATACTACCCCAGTACCTCCGAATATCAATTTAGCCTTTCAACAACAAGGATAAAATGATACTCAAAGGTATAACAGTGTTTTCGAAAGTAGCCCTCGGCAGTTGGAATGACTTCGAACTTTCGTTAACTTGTCTATTTCTAGTAATGTAGATTAACTGTAATCTTTGTTTAACTTACTTTTTATCGTTTTGTAGTTTTAAGAATTAGAAAAAGATAAAAAGTAAAACAAGATAACAAGTATCGTGTTCTATCGGCTTTAATGTTAATTTCACATTGATGGAACTGGGCTTTAAAACTGGAAAGATACAAAAAGTAACTTAAACCAAGATTAAAATTAATCTAAATTAGCAGTAGATATTAGTATCAATTACAATTGTGACTACTATTATTATTTATATTATCGGTCAAAATGTTAATTTATAAAAGAAATATAACTTAACGAATGTATTTGGAATTATACGAGAAATTAAATGTAAATAAAATTACGATACAAAATAAACGATTTATCTGATACCAAAGAGTTTGATATTCTCTTTAATTTGAGTTTCATCTAAAAAGTTGCACCCCGATGCTTTATTGTCGATTGCATTTAGTTACAAATTATTATCGCTTCAAAAAATATGAACAACGGCCGTCGCAACGAATGAGAATTTTCACGTTGCAGAGATTACTGAATTTGAAAAGAATTCCGACGAATTTATTAGGATATTGGACAATTTGGCAAAGGAGGTGGAAAAAGAGAAAATGAAGACGATTGGTGCGCGGAATCTGCTGCGTTCCGTTACGAAGCAAAGGGAAGCCCAGAAACAACAAATGGAGGTTCTTAAATAATTACATAATACTTAGCAGCATGTATTCATCGTTTAAATAATAGACGGTTTAAATAATAGACAAAAATAATAGACAAGAATTATGCTATCTAGGCCGATATTCATAGTCGGTTCTTCTTTTTAAAATTGGCCATAATCACTATTTATGATGAAATTTGACTATTTTGAACATCTCATCAAACTCCGATTAATTTACCGAATATCTGCATTTATTAACATAGAATTAATTTTTTATTTGACATACGAAAGGAAAGATTAGATTAATAAAGAGTTATGTATACAGTTGGAAAATTTGTTGTAACTCTGGTTAAGTTAATCGCCAGTTAATTGGATTAAGTATAATCAAAATTAACTTAAGATCGGACCATTATTATCGCTATATGCCAATGATCGATTATCGCCTATTCTCATTGTAGGCATTGATTTTGGAAAAGTCTGTGGAACTGGAACGACTACGAGTACAATACGATTCTTACAAGAAGATCGAAATGGAACAATTAGAAACTATCGAACATTTATCAGTGAATTAATGTAACATTTTATAGCTTCCGACTGTACATTTGTTGTTAATTGATCGAATTTTTTTCATCTTTTAGCCAATAAAAATAAATAATACAATAATTTTTAAAAGCAACAATATTTGTTGCGAGTCAATATTTTTCAAAGAATTGTAAAGAATTATAGTTTTGAAAAAACTATTAACTTAATCGACAACTAACTCGTCATATTATATTTGTTACGGATAGAATTATTTTATTTTGTTGATTTAAAAAAGATATTTTATAACTTACAGTTTTTTTATTTAGAAAAAATTTTATCACATAAGTTATAAACGTCACTGCCAAAATTATCAATTTCTTCTTCATCAATATCGCTGTCAATGTCGTCATCTTCTATAATAGCTAATGATTTTATTTTCATTAATAAATCTTCTCTTTCCTGATTTGTTTCATCTTCATTTCTGTCCTCACTGTCAGTTTTATCTATATCAGTATTCAAACCAGAAGTTCTAGGTTTGCTATTATTTTCCTTACTTTTTACTAAAAATAAAGTAAAATAAAGGCTTTTTATTATACGAAAACATATATTCGTGCCAATTATGTGCATAATAAATATATAAATAAAATTCTACTTAACAATATGCAATACAATATACATACTCGATTGTCGATTCATATAACGTATCAATGTTCTTCGTTTTCGTTCTGACAGTGTTTTCAGAATTGCTTTAAACTCGGCATCCAATTTAATTTGTTCTTCCTTACTGCATGTTGCTCCTACGACTTCTGTCTTCTGTCCACATTTTGAACATATTCCTTGTTGCTTGGCGCAAAGCAAGCAGATATTATGATAAGAATGTTTCACAGTTTTTTGTTCACATTTAATACATTTCATTGGAGCTTTAAGCACTTTATATTTTTTGTATTTGATCTTCCACTCTATTATATTTTTGCAACGTTTGCATACATTAGTAACCTCAGTGCTGTTAATTTGCTTTATTTTTTGAGATTTGTCATATAGATTATTTTTAAACGAGTTTTTATTTTGATATTTTTGAGGCCTCGAACGATTAGCATTTCCTTTTTGACAACTCATGTTTCTAGTATTATATTGTAATATTATTAAAATTTAAATAATATAAGAAAGAATTCTTTAAATTTTCAATAAATTGTTGCAAATTTTATGACCTGAAAACAAAAGAAAATATAAGTCTTTTATAGTGTTTTAAAATGCTTATTAGCTTCATTGTTAAATTTATATTCAATGCAACGTGTGATGTTATTTCTAACTTCAGTTTGATTGTATTTCAAATTTCACAAACCAAAACGGTATGCAATACATAAAACCGAAAAATGTATTTGTAAGTCTACATATAAATATTATTATGCACGAGACCTTTTACACCGTTAAATCGGTTAGTACGCGTATCAAATTTGGTGCAGACTCAATATTTAATACATCCTTTACACAGTCTGTCTCACAACAGTTTTGGTTAGGTGACGTGATTCCACTTTCCACCCATCTCTTCACTGCGCGCTTTTCGAGATATAAACCTCTACCAACCTCTACCGTCGAAATCGCTCGTACACTATCGCCAATATATCCTTTTTCGGTTTGGAACTACGTGGCTACATCTATTTTCTGACCCTGTCGATAAAATCATAGCAAAATCGCCCATAATTCTCTTGCAGGATTCATACAGTGGCTGCGGTCCACTTGACGCTACAAACGCTTCAAAGTATTCTTTGATTAGTCAATTCGTAAAATTCTTTGTTCTGATTGGTCGTTCAAATGCTTCGAAGCGTTTGTAGCGT